GTTCCAGTTTTAGAGGAGAAGTATACAGCGGGCAGGAGGTTCCATTTTGAGGCGAGAGATATGTGAATGCAAAGACGACTCAAAGATGTGAGAAAAGAATATATAGGTAGAGAGTATATATATAGGTAGAGAGTATATATATAGGTAGAGAGTATATATATATAGAGAGTAATGCCAATCCTGATCTCAAAAGCTTCATAGAAGGTTGTAACAGAACCCATGAGCACCACACCAGAAATAAATACAGTTTTGATATTCCTAGAGTACGACTTAATCAAACCAGAAATGCTCTACAAATCAAGGGGCCCAGGATGTGGAATGACCTTCCCAACCATGTTAAAGACTGTACCTCTCTCAACCAGTTTAAGTTAAAAACGAAGCTATACCTAATAAATTCCATGTAACCCACCTTACCCTTCTATTGTCAACCCATGTATGTTTTTTGTTTTTTTTTTGTTTTACAAATCAACGCTGTTTTAATGTAATTTTCTGTAATAATTTATAATTGTATTTGTGCTGTTTTTTCAACAATGTTCCCCCCTCTTTACCTCTATTTTATTTGTACTCAACGCATTTTTTCTTTTTACCCATTAGTTTTAAGCTTTAGTCAGTAGTGTTTTTCCTGCCCGAAACGCTTTGCGTAATAGTGGCTTTAGGCATTGTATGTACTAGCTCTATCTATAAAGCCAACAAACTTTGTAAAATCTCTTTATGTATGTACCTTTGCCTAAATAAAAATTATTATTATTATATTATTATTATTATATATAGGTAGAGAGTATATATATAGGTAGAGAGTATATATATAGGTAGAGAGTATATATATAGGTAGAGAGTATATATATAGGTAGAGAAGTTACTGATGAACAATAGAATCGTTACAGATCCTTTTGACATTTTAAGTTTTTCTTCTTTTTTTCTTCAATACTTTGCAACATTATATCATTCTCCTCTTTGTATCATCATCATCATTTATCATTATCATCATCATGCAAGATAGACTGGAGCTGTGCACCATCTGTGCAACACATGTTGCACAGGACCCTGCCTAATTGTGCAAGGTGTGAGCCTGGAAACACCCAGCGCATATGATGCTCGAATCCTCATCACGGCTCTTATTGATGTATTGAGCATTATGTAATAATACTTAATAAGTATTATTATTATTATTATTATTATTATTATTATTATTATTATGTTATTATTATTTCTGTTATTGTTATTATTATAGCATTATGGTATTTGTGTTGGTTGTGTGGTTGTATTAACATATGTGTACAACAGGTGTGGTGAAGGGAGACACGGGATGTCAGGTGTTTGGTCATGGCGGCGGGCGGCGGTGTGGGCGTGCGGGGCTGCCTTCCTCCTCCTGCTGGCCGCCTACCTCCACAACACGGCGCCCGACACACCCACACAACCGGCGCCACCTCACCACCTCCCACTCACTCTACACTCCAACAACAACACCATTAATGTAAGTCGTAACGTCTGTGTACTGCTGGATTGCTTCTTCATAATACACTAAAGGCATCTAGTGTGTTTTAAATTTTAATTTAGTCTGGAAGGGCGAGTTTATTGGGCAGCGTCACCCATCCTGTGAGTGGACACACCGCCATAGTGACAGTATTGGGCAGCGTCACCCATCCTGTGAGTGGACACACCGCCATAGTGACAGTATTGGGCAGCGCCACTCATCCGGCCTGTGAGTGGACACACCACCATAGTGACAGTATTGGGCAGCGTCACCCATCCTGTGAGTGGACACACCGCCATAGTGACAGTATTGGTCAGCGTCACTCATCCTGTGAGTGGACACACCGCCATAGTGACAGTATTGGGCAGCGCCACTCATCCTGTGAGGGACACAACCGCCATAGTGACAGTATTGGGCAGCACCACTCATCCTGTGAGTGGACACCAACGCCATAGTGACACGTATTGGGCAGCGCCACTCATCCTGTGAGTGAACACACTGTCATAGTGACAGTATTGGGCAGCGCCACTCATCCTGTGAGTGGACACACCGCCATAGTGGCAGTATTGGGCAGCGCCACTCATCCTGTGAGTGGACACACCGCCATAGTGACAGTATTGGGCAGCGTCACTCATCCTGTGAGTGGACCCACCGCCATAGTGACAGTATTGGGCAGCGTCACTCATCCTGTGAGTGGACACACCGCCATAGTGACAGTATTGGGCAGCGTCACTCATCCTGTGAGTGGACACACCGCCATAGTGACAGTATTGGGCAGCGTCACTCATCCTGTGAGTGGACACACCGCCATAGTGACAGTATTGGGCAGCGCCACTCATCCTGTGAGTGGACACACCGCCATAGTGACAGTATTGGGCAGCGCCACTCATCCTGTGAGTGGACACACCGCCATAGTGACAGTATTGGGCAGCGTCACTCATCCTGTGAGTGGACACACCGCCATAGTGACAGTATTGGGCAGCGTCACTCATCCTGTGAGTGGACACACCGCCATAGTGACAGTATTGGGCAGCGTCACTCATCCTGTGAGTGGACACACCGCCATAGTGACAGTATTGGGCAGCGCCACTCATCCTGTGAGTGGACACACCGCCATAGTGACAGTATTGGGCAGCGCCACTCATCCTGTGAGTGGACACACCGCCATAGTGACAGTATTGGGCAGCGCCACTCATCCTGTGAGTGGACACACCGCCATAGTGACAGTATTGGGCAGCGCCACTCATCCTGTGAGTGGACACACCGCCATAGTGACAGTATTGGGCAGCGCCACTCATCCTGTGAGTGGACACACCGCCATAGTGACAGTATTGGGCAGCGCCACTCATCCTGTGAGTGGACACACCGCCATAGTGACAGTATGGGCAGCGCCACTCATCCTGTGAGTGGACACACCGCCATAGTGACAGTATTGGGCAGCGTCACTCATCCTGTGAGTGGACACACCGCCATAGTGACAGTATTGGGCAGCGTCACTCATCCTGTGAGTGGACACACCGCCATAGTGACAGTATTGGGCAGCGCCACTCATCCTACGAGTGGACACACCGCCATAGTGACAGTATTGGGCAGCGCCACTCATCCTGTGAGTGGACACACCGCCATAGTGACAGTATTGGGCAGCGCCACTCATCCTGTGAGTGGACACACCGCCATAGTGACAGTATTGGGCAGCGCCACTCATCCTGTAAGTGGACACACCGCCATAGTGACAGTATTGGGCAGCGCCACTCATCCTGTGAGTGGACACACCTTCGGCAGCGGCACTCATCCTGTGAGTGGACACACCGCCATAGTGACAGTATTCGGCAGCGGCACTCATCCTGTGAGTGGACACACCGCCATAGTGACAGTATTCGGCAGCGGCACTCATCCTGTGACCCCCTCTTCTCCTATCTGCTTGTCGTTTCCTGCCGACCTTTTGCTCGTTTTGGTTATTCTTTTGAACTTCTTCTATTTTGACGCCTGGGTGCTTGGGGAGGCAATCTCTTGCGCCCATAGAACTGTAGTACCCAATGTCTCGAGCGAGGGAAACCTTTTATTGTCAATCCTCCTTTCATCACTGAACCCGATCTCGACGGACTGACGGTTCTTAAGGTGGCGTTTGTGGGGCGTATACTCACGATGCACCCCTGGGGGGGGCCCCGGCATGATCGGCGATAGCTTCTTGTTGGGTGTCCTGCCTCTAATTGTGGCTCCATGGTGGGTATGGGGACACACATTCGTGAATGAAAATCTTTCCTCGTTTCTATGGCAGATAATGTTTCCCTTGTACCTTCTCAGGCTCGTGGGGTTGGCGACCAAGCCCCCGAGTCGGACTGTGTTGGAAGACCAGGCCCTGTAGCTCCCGCTGCATTGGGCCCCGACCTTGCTCCTCCTTTGACCCTCCTGACCAATTACAGTGCGCGTGTCATCGCTGCTTCTTCTCAGGATGCAGCTACTCGCTTAGCAGCTTTTTCCTGCATTGGGGATACCCCTGGTTGATGGGGTTCTGGGAGTTCTTCTACTCCTCAAGCCTGGCCCGAGGCCAGACTTGACTTGTGAGAGTTTGGTCCACCAGGCTGTTGCTTGGAGTGGCCCGCAGGCCCACATACCCACCACAGCCCGGTTGGTCCGGCACTCCTTGAAGGAAACAATCTAGTTTCCTCTTGAAGATGTCCACGGTTGTTCCTGTAATATTTCTGATGTTCGCTGGTAGGATGTTGAACAACCGTGGACCTCTGATGTTTATACAGTGTTCTCTGATTGTGCCCATGGCACCTCTGCTCTTTACTGGTTCTATTCTGCATTTTCTTCCATGTCGTTCACTCCAGTACGTTGTTATTTTACTGTGCAGATTTGGGACCTATCCCTCCAGTATTTTCCATGTGTATATTTTTGGTATCTCTCTCATCTTCTTTCTAGTGAGTACATTTGGAGAGCTTTGAGACGATCCCAATAATTTAGGTGCTCTATCTCGTCTATGCGCGCCGTATATGTTCTCTGTATTCCCTCTATTTCAGCAATCTTTCCTGCTCTGAATGGGGAAGTGAGTACTGAGCAGTACTCAAGACGGGACAACACAAGTGATTTGAAGAGTACAACCATTGTGATGGGATCTCTGGACTTGAAGGTTCTCGTAATCCATCCGATCATTTTTCTGGCTGACGCAATACTTGCTTGGTTATGCTCCCTAAATGTTAGGTCGTCGGACATCATTATTCCCAAATCCTTGACATGCTGTTTTCCTACAGCATGTTTTTCCCTGTTCGGGTCTCCAAAAACGCTCGGTTAAATGCCACTGTTTTCCTCCCACACCATGTTGCAACTGGTGTTAGGGACTTTAAAGACTGCCATGAGGATATTAAACATATCCTCGAAGTCCAAGGCCAGTCTGTCCTCCAGGTAGACACGTTTACTCGACCCCCTCGTGGTCGTCGCCGTCACCCCCTTCGAGTTGTAAAAATCACTTTTGATAGTAGGGCCCTTTCGTCTTCCATTATTCTTGCCGGTGCCAGATGCTCCATTCAGGAATACATTCCCTCTCCTAGACTTTGCAATAAGTGTTGGAAGTTTGGGCATGGTGTCCTCAAGTGCACAAGTACTGTGTATCTATCCCCCATGTGTGGGGCCGATGATAATTCTAAGTCCGATTGCATTTCTCCCCAGGCTCGCTGCCTTAATTGCGGTGAGGCCCACCCTACCTTCTCACGCTCGTGTATACACTACAAACTCAAGGAAGCCGTAGTCGATTTGAAACACCGTGATCGTCTGACTTTTCCTGAAGCGCGACACCAAGTTTGTCGTCTCACCCCTTTCGCGGGTGTATCCTACGCTCGCATGTTGCATTCTACCTCTCCTCGTCCTTCCCACTTTCCTCAGTTTCACAACCATTTCCAGGCCTTAGACCCAAACACACCCTCCACCTCCTCCCCTATTCCTTTGCGTGCTGTCCCGTCCTGTCCTCCCTCCTTGTTCTCCACCTGGAGTTTTGCCCCCTTCCTGCCCAGTCCACCATGTCCCCTATGTCTTCTTTCCCATCTCCCCTGCTCTCTTTCTTCCCAACCCTCCCCCCAGTCTCTTGAGCCTCCATGCCGCCTGCTTGTCCAGGCTGATGTCCATCATCCTCCCAGCAATCTACGTGTTGTTCGCTCCCATTCCTCTTCTCCTGCTGAGACCATTGAGTCTGTCGTCCGGTACGTTGTTACTGGAACACCTGTCTCTTCGAGTCAGAAACGTAAGTCTGGCTACTCTCCTTCTTTCTCCCCAGCGGGTAAGAAAGTATCGCCTTCTTCCTCTGACACACTCACTGCGTCCCCTCCCATTTCCGTGGTCGGGCCCCCCTCTGTCCCTGATATGGAGGTTTCTTTTGCCCCCGATTCCCTCTCGGTTGCTGAGGTGCACTCCCTGATTTCTGCCCCCCCCCTCCCCCAGCTGTCTTTGATTGCCCCTCTCAGTTGTCTCCTCTTCCTCTGGACCCCGTCAGTCTGCCTCTGGTCCGTCCTCCTGTTCCCTTCCCTCCATCCTTACTAAGTTTACCCATGCCCCCTAACCCTGATTTTGCTGACCCTGATATTCTGATAATAAACTGTGTTCTTCTTTACCTTTGTTTCTTTATTGTTCTCTGTTGCTGTCCTTTCTCTTTGATAATGTCTATTTTTCAGTGGAATTTTCGTGGATTTTATGCCAACTTCCATGAACTCCAACTTCTAATTACACAATTTTCACCACTTTGTGTTTGTCTCCAGGAACCAATGCTTGGTGCTCGTCCTGGTCACTTTCGTGGTTATTCCTTTCTTTCTCCTCCCCCCCCCCCCCAGCTCTTGCTGGGGCCCATAACTCTACTGCTCTCTTAATTCGTTCTGATATTCCCTTCATCCCCCTACTTCTTCTGTCACCTATCCATTGTTCTGCTGCCCGTGCTTTTGTGGGTAAATGGTATACAATCTGTTCCATTTATCTCTCCCCAAATGTCCTGATTTCCCTTCCTGATGTTAAGC